AAATAAATGATGCCTAAATTATCTCAAATGATTTCGCATTTTAAAGTCAAAACGTGCTACCAGTACCCTACAGTGAAAGTTGTTATTTTAGAATCTTACCTAATCTTGTATGACTACACATCCAACATCCACTTCTTTGAAATATTCATCTCATGAAAATATATTAAACTTTACCGATCTAGTGCTTGTTATCATATAATTGTCATCATACAAATTTACCTTTTACTTTAGTGTGTTTGTAAAACCTCAATAAATTTTTTACTTTAACCATTCAATTACATATTATAGGAGCAACATTTTCATTTGTTATCTCTGTTGAAAGAATGAACCTAAATATCTAAATTGTTTGTGCTTTGATATCGCAATTCAATTTACGACTTAATTTGCTCTTCTCATGCTAATTAAACATGCATTGCATATAATCAGTTGTATTTCTACTTTCCATAATTACCTAATTTTCGAAAGTGTTTTTATATTTCAAGTTTTTTGATTTAGTTCCTATTTTCTACAAGTGTAACAAATTGTAATGAATTGTGACATTTACAAAGCTTCACAATTTGATGTAATTTACAGAGGTTATCACAAATCTCCACGATAAAACCGCTACATATTATAATAAATTGCGGCTTTCACAAAACATCAAAAATTGATGCAATTTGCGGAGGTTATCACAAGCCTCTAGAATGAAACCGTCATATGATAAATTATATCGCAAGGGTTTAAAATAAATGCTACAAATAATTTTTTTAGTGGAGCTTTTAAAATCCCCACAAATAAACCTCTGCAAATTAGCTTGTTTTTTTGGTAGTATTTGCTTTTTCGAAGTTAATTTGTAGTTTCAATGTTATAGGTTGTTGTGAGAACATCTTTAAGCTTCTGCTATAAGATCAATGTTATTTATGTTTTGTATTGACATTTTGTCGAGAGTATTTCAATTTGTAATTTCATAGGTATAGACATATGTATTTACTTTGAGGTGAAAGAAAAGGAATTTCAAAGATGAGATGTTTGCTTATTAATTTGATAATGTTTCAAGCCTTCTTTGAAATTTCGCCGGTCGCTGAGGTGTGTATTAAGCGTGCTAAAGTTTTCAAATACGATAAAATGAGCTTGCATTAACTTTAGAAGATATACTTAGTTTCTATAATTTGTCATTGAAAAAAGAAAAGGCTCAAATGCAACATTTGTCTTTCAAGAAAATTTTAAACATGAACAAGGAGAACTAATAATATACCAAGGAAAAAAAAGAGGTTTAGCTGCAACATTTTATGTATAATATCAGATTTGGCAGGGAGACCCAAATCTCACCAATTATGCATTTATCATCACAGCACTCAC